CTTTCCAACCTCTAAAACTGCTCTGACTATCTGAAAAATGAGACTTAGTTACTTAGTTTCGAAATATCCAAGCGGTGGTCCCAAGCTTGCAAACATTGGAGTCAAATATTTATTTTTTGGGACTGTTATAAGTTCTCAAACTTTTCACAAACAATTATAGTAGTCTTCATGGTATCCATGTGCAAAACTGTTAGTTACAAAGAGGTGTCATTGAGATATTCGTCTACGAAATTCCTCTTCAATCTGAGCACACATATGACACAAAACTGCTATCGTTTAGCGCATCAGTAAAAAAATAATGACTGTGCCGCATGTTTATAGACAAAATGTAGCCAAAAATATATATTTTTTAAGGGTCGATTAAAATCAGGCACACGTTACAGAAGAAACTATACTGACAAATAAGAGACTATCAGTTAAACGGTATTTTCGAATCAGAGTTGAGCACGAAAATCAGTGGACCATTGGGGAATCCCCTACATGATCAGCAAAAACACAGGAATCAGCCATCATTGAAGTCCACGGAGTACTCTAGCCAGTTGGTGATAGTCAGGATAAAGATTTCGGACATGATATGTAGCATTAGAGTCACTTATCATATAGCGTAGTCCTTAACACCACCACGGTGATTAGTGTGTTCGCGCCAACCCTTCCTTTAAACGCCACGACAATTAAGTCTCTGTCTGGTGACTGTGAACTTCAGAAACCGAGAGGATTTGAGTAGAGATTATAGTCTTAAATGAGGCGTGTCCTTCCTCCAATATCACGGACGAAAAAGTGAGTATGCAAGGGATGGAACATTTCCCATTGGATAGGGTACGTAAAAAGCGAGATGAAGTGAAGATACAAATTAACAATCGCTTCAAAGTCGAAACACAAAGCTTTAATTAGCTGACAGAATCATGCTACTATTGCTCCGATAAAGAGAGACCAGATTACAGCAATCACACCTGGGGTTTTTCCAAATATCACATGTTTCTCGTCGAATCTTTCCATATCACGGGACAGTTGGACGACCTGTTCTAACCGAACGATAATGGTCCGTGTATTATCCTTTGACTAGGAGCATTCGACTCAAAACATCATATTATCATGGATAGAGCTGAGAAGATAGGTTTCACTGACCGATGCTTATCTTGGATCCAAAACTTCATGGAGAAAAATACATTTGGAATCAGATCAAAGAAACTGCACTCAGGCTAGATGATCTGAAAGAGAAACGATCATTTCTTAATGTTTGAATTTTCGCTTTTTCTTCACATTGGGATCAACCAGTCAACCTCTTGATTGATGACATGATAGCTGCTGGTATCCGAAAAGGTTTCTGCCATGTGATAACCGAACTAGCTAAAATTAAAACATGTACAAACCCACACAGCTACGAAACTGATAAGAATTTGCGTAATCCACTAACTGGACTAACTTTCATTGAATAATAATAAAGACGTGAAACTGTACTGAATTAACAAGAAGTAAGGTCTAAGAAATCATTCGGTCTATTTAAGATCGCAAATAGGAAAATGGTGTATTGGATCTTACATGAAGAATATTTCCTAGGCCATTCTCGAAACGCAAACTGTGGAGGCGGGCGTTTGGTTTTCATGAAGTCATTACTGAAAAAAGCATTAAGTCAAACTGCTATTGTTCCAGCTCTGCCTGAGTTTCGGAGACCTGAGGTAATCTTTCATAACGTTTTGCACGGTTCTCAGGTACGATGTAAGTCCAGTAGGAAAAACCAAAGTAGAGGCCAACTGAAACGTCTTCGCAATGAATTATACCGAAAACGTCATTCCAAAAAAGTTACTTGGAAAATATTTTCAAGTAAAAATGGTAAGTTATTTTTTTCCAGACTCAAAGCTTGTAGCCTATTGTGTCTGGTAGAGTAGCATGTTGTTACCTAATTAGGTGCTACGTAGCACGACGTGTTAATCTCTATAGATTAACATGTCATCTTTAAACCGATAGGTCAACATAAGACAAAAAGTCAATATATATAAGTGAATCGAACAAAGAGTAGGAATTTCAAATGCTTTAGGCATTAGGTCGAAATTCTCCAACTGGATTTTGTATACTTCGAGCTGGTTATTAGTCTAATTTTCGTTCCTACTAACGCACACTTATATGCTCTTATCTTAAATGTCTTCTATGTTCGCCGTTGTTTACACCACAAGACGAACGTTTAGATACAGTAAACTCGATTTAGAAAATTATACATGGTTAGTAACACTTATTAACAAGAAATGACATCGCACCTCCTCGTTGTACGTGCAAAACTCTACTGTCACTAACGAAAATCTGCAAAAAAGTTACAGTTAACAGGTTACGCGCTATTTATTTAGAATTCTCAGCCCCATATATCAATCACTTCCCCACTACATACACCTATTTTGTTTCAATGTAGCACATGTAAGTGAGAAAGTAAATGCGAATATAATGATTTATTAGGAAATTATGAATAAAATGTGGAGAGTTTTAGAAAATTGGAGTCTCAGTGTTACCATTCAGAATCGAAATAACCGTCCCGTGAATTTTGAAATATTAAAACTAACATTCACATCACAACTAAACTGCGGAATTTTTTTTATCCACAACTGGCAACGTAAAACGAGAATTAAGGCAGTTCGTCGAAACCGAACACTACAACTATTAAACACTTCAACGTATTCCTCATATCTCTTTTGTAACTTGCAGCTAATCTCTCATGTCATTTAGTGCTTTGATGAGTTCCGTGAAATGATCTAGCGGGTCAGTGAAAGCTCTAGATCTAATTAATTCTTTTTTCCTTGATGTCAGTGATTACCCCGGCTTAAATTAAGTAATAATAATGTAGTTGTAGTAGTATTCTTAGAAGTAATTTTTTGTTTCTTACAGTCGTACGTGTCTACTGTAGTTGCCGAAATGATAACTTGAAGCCTACTACAGGAAATCATCTCTTCTGCATAACTGTGACCTGCTTACTCAGCCATAGGCTAAAAGATATGTACTGTTTTTTAGTATCTCATATAAGACTCGAATGGAAAAGTTGTTAGCGGATCTTGCAAAATAACGTTAACGAATATACGCTATAAACTAAGTGTTCAGGTCCGTAGCACTATGCACATTCTCTAGGAAAATTACACAAATCATTTCTAACTGAACCTGTGACACTGCTGCAAAACCTAAGACGCGTTTGCACTAATGCTAAACGTCTAGATTTTATTTATTTATTTTAACACAGATATTGGTACGAGGCACCAAATACATATGCGCCACACAAATCTCATTCGATATGCGTGAGGGCTGTGACACTGCCCGGGTTCCCAAACCGAAGCAGGTGGTTTTCTTAGGGGGCCACACTCCGAGCCTTAGACCTAAAGGTCTGATCCACAAGGCAGTGGAGCATCGTGAGGAGATGCAGTCCCATGGTAGCCAGTGACCAACAATTGGCTCATACGCCATTTGTTCCTCTATAATACTAGAGCCCATGTGCATCATTGGTTTGGAATCCGGCTAATGCGCTGGACATTCGCTTTTCGTTCTCTCATTTTCGTAAACAACACCCCTGCCACGAGAGGGAAGTGAGTAGGACTTACCCGGCAGAGGCTATATACGCGTGACCGTGTGAGAGCATTTCTAGAGGGAGAGCGGACTCTCCCGATTCTCGGCCATACCAGGGCATTTGGGGTTGGTCGCTACCCACAAAGATACAAAGTCTAATGTACGACATTTATGCTGAAAGTTTGAAGTACTTCCAACACAACTCAAGAATAACATATGCCCGTGATAACAGTTTTATTCACACTCCAAGTTCTTTATGAGGAATCTATCAATAAATAGATTTTTTTTTCTTCATTACACATAAATATCACAAGTGCATTGGATCTGAAGGGAATCTTGAAACCATATTGATTGCAAGTGTCTCAAAATTAGAATGTCCATGATGTGAGTTGGTTGACTTTGTTAATGAAAACTGTCATCAGTTCGCGATATCGTTTAAAAATATCATCCTTCCTTCAATGAAATAACCCACTACCACATGCATATCATAGCCTGCTTCTCCGTTGTAACTGTATTTAACTTCTGAACGAGCAGGTGCGTCAAACGTGACGGCAACCAGCTTAATAGCTATACATCCAAGTAGTGTGTAATTCAAAACGAGTGTCATTGGTAAGTAAGACGATGTGAAACAACAAAAAATGATGTGAACGCTTAGAAGATCCAAAAGTTGTTCTTCACAGTGGTTTTCATAACTAACGACAGATGATAATCACCTAGTCGTTCACTGTTGAAGACTTCAGAATTAAGTCGATTGTGGCTAGCAGTGAAATCCAAGACTTTAGCTGCATGTACGTGCATCCAAACAACCATTACAAATACAAAAGTAGCTCCGGCTAAGTTGGACATTATTTATTCGGATTCATTATAGCAATCATGCACCTTCTCTACAATTGACAGATGTTCATGGTGTATCATCAAGAATTTACCAGTCTTGAATGCAATGGTGATCCAAACATTATATATATATATATATATATATATATATATATATATATATATATATATATATATAGAGAGAGAGAGAGAGAGAGAGAGAGAGAGATATGAAAATAAACACCTTTAACTTAGCAGTGCAATAAATTTGTTTATGTGAACGTATCCACAGTAAACCTTTTTTTCTGAATTATTTTACAGACTCTCAGTCCAGACCTGACAAGTGCGGTTCTGTCAAAACTAAAAATATCAGCAAAGCCAATCCTGAACTAATAAAACTTGCAAAACAAATAAATCAAAGTAGGCGCGAGGTTTTCGAAGCAACATCCAACAGAACGATAAGCAAGAAGACAGAAAGTGTTCTCTTCAACCAAGATTATGATCATTTTAAGGATGATTTGAAGACTCTTATATGCTCATAATTTCCATTATATAATCATGATTTTCCGTAATTAGTTAACTGGTTTCTTCAGTACCCATTTTCTCAAATGTACAGATGGATAACTAACAGCTAGAAAACTGGTGGGACGTAGTTGTATAGATACTTTATTTTTACCGGTACGAATAAATATTATAAAATAAAAATGTTTCCTATTAGTTTTTGTGACGGAATACTAGTTTAATTGTTCGATACGTTGACAGGAATAAGGCGAAACCAATTGGTACGAAAAGCGGCGTATAAATACCATATTTTTGGTCATCCTACAAAAAATAAATTGTGTAATTATTAAGCGAGCAGGTAAATCTTCAGAAAATAGTTATTTATGTGATAATCAGAATGAAAGTACTCAATGAACCCTACTTTGACGTTTTCGCAACGCTCAGTAGATTTGAATGTGATTTTTGTTCTGCCGTAAGGTTGACGACCAAGATTCTCAATCAAATGTTGAATCGTAAGGAATGGCTACAAACCCAAATTGTATTGTTCTTCCTGGTACGGTCGAAAGTGGAGAGAGTTTGCTCTTCCTCTTGAAATGCCATCATATAACCATGTGCATTTAGTCACTGCTGTGGAAGTTCTACTCACCACCATTTCGTTGCGTGGTCGTTGTTTACGAAATCGAGAAGACGAGAACGAACGTCCAGCACTGAAGCCAGGTTCATGCACAGATCATGACTTTCCTCCCAGGAAATCACACAAGCTTCTGCAGTCTGTATAAACTCACGGAAGTAAGTAATCGGATGACTACTCATCTATTTCTGTATTTAAGAATATTCTTCTGTAAGGATTGAACTTGGAAGATATATTACGCAGATTATTTATGAAGCCAACTTAGCAGAGTTGGAGAACCCTGATTCCAAACTAACGATTCTCATAGACTACAGGATCCTGAGTGGACAAATAGCGTCCAAACCTATTCTTGATCACCGGCTGCCATGAAACCGCAACTCCCAGCGTTGCTCTACTACATCGTGGATTAAACCTCTTGATCAAAGGTTCGGGGAGTGGCCCCCAAAACCACATTTTACGGTTTAAGCACTCCGACAAAATTCTTGGCGAAAACGAATTTATCGATAACTACTTTGTGTGGCGCATATAAATTTTGTTACCCCTTTGTATCAATGTGTTTAAATAAATACCACTTACAATGGTGTGTGCTAGTGGGACAGAAAGAAGCTTGGGCACTAAGGTTAAATTCATTAACCACAAATAATTTAGAGTCTTAAGATTAGCAAAGATCTCACTACAATACGGAGTTCCAGTTACACAAGAATACCTACACAACAAAAGGTAAATAATAATTATGCGTTTGCACACCTGTCAAAAAGACGTACAATTTAATTTAAAGGCTAATTCCCCAAAAATCACGTCTTCCCTCCGTAAAAAGTGATTTTGCATTCCTAAGGTTTAAGGGGGATAGTGACTCGGTATTATTCACTAGATTTAATATAGTAAAGTATTGGGTTACATTGAATCTAATAAGTGGTTCCCAGGTACTTGACAAGGTAAGCACTCCATAATAATTTGACATGCTTTTACCAACCGTTCTAGACGGCAATAATAAAAAGTTTACTCACCTCGAAATATAAAAGACCAAGCAGACTGTGATCGAAAAACGCGCCATTTGAAGAAATTAAAGCATTATGTGCATATTGGAATGTAAGACCAAAGAAGCACATAATCTCGTTGTGTGACGACTCTGAATTGTTTATTTCATCAGGTTTTTTGAGATTATCAAGAGCTAATGACCAATTTGAACATGAATGATATACTTCATGAGCAACATCATCTCGTATAATCATGTTTGGTAGGCGTTGTAGTATGTTTATTAATGATTCAATAGTTCGTTTTGTCTCAGTAAGACATTCAATAGTTCGTCGAAGAAACCACAAGTTAAGCTGTAAACAAACGAAAATAAAAGACATGTCCTAGTCATGTGATTTACCAAGATTTGAACTCGCTATGAAGCCCTAACAAACTTACAAGTTTTTAAGGGATGTTATGAAGTGAACATGTACACAGTACTCGATAGAACGTATCAAGTGAAGACGGTAACAGAAGTTACTAAAAAGTATAATAACGAAACATGATAAAAACGAGCTTTTAAACTCTGAGACTCTACGTGTAGGTCAGTAAAAAAATTCACTGAACATATCTATAAGATTTACGTAGGGATCATGACTTTCCTCCCAAGAAATCACACAAGTTTCTGCAGTCTGCATAGACTCACGGAAATAAGTAGTCGGATGACTACTCATCTATTTCTGTATTTGAGAATATTCTTCTGTAAAGATTGAACTTATAAGGTATATTCAACAGATTATCTATGAACCCAAAATATTTTGAGTTGCTTCAAGATTCCGAAGCGAAATCCAATCTGTCGTTTTTTGTGAGGAAGGTGATTGGCTTTCTGTCTAGGCAACTGATGAGTTAATATAATTCATAAATACCAATTATACCGACAGAAAATGTAAGTTATGTCTGATACGTAGTGCATGTTGAGTACACTTCATAGTCAACCTGGTTACAAGCAAAATAGCCAAATCAACCAATGTAAATTAAAAGAAATGCTTCATAAACCAAATAATGCAGAAATTAGTAAAAACCATGCTAAAGCAATAATTTTCAGCCACTCCACATCTAAGCTAAATAAAACTTTGTCAACATAGTGTTTTAAAGATATAAATTTATAAGAAAAAACAAACCTCCCAATTCGTTGTTTGACCATTTAAGTCCATGTTAGATTGAATATGATAGGTGTGACTATTATCCACATCCCGATCAAAATACATTTCTTTGATTTGTGGAAAACCTAATATTGAACGTATCACATAAATAATTTTTTGTGCAATCATCTTGGTTGATCCAGTCCTTGCCATACAATCAGAAGCATCAATAGAAAGTAGACCACCCCATTGAGGTACAAGTGCATAGTCGGTTATTACTACAGATGAATATGATGATATATGAAATCGTAAAGGTAAGGGACAGTCAACTCCGTGTGAATTATTTCTTTTAAAAGTATTTAGTAACAAAATAAGATGTAGACCTGGATTAGAACGAGCCACATCGAGATTATCTGCATACGCTGTTTGAGGAGGTCCCAAAAATGATTCTAAATAATTAATCAGATTGGATATATCACTTTGAGAATAAAATGTATAGTTTCCGGTTTTTGACAATTGACTAGAAAGAGAATTAAGTAAAATATAATTTAAAGAGAGAATAAAGATTATCGTTATAATTCAAATTGCTTTTTTTTGATGAGATTAAATAGGCCTTACAAAACAAAGAAATCAGTTCGAAACAAATCATATTTATGGCAAATATCTCATAGAGATATAAGCTACTAAGTGAAGATATAATTTCCAGTTGAAAAAATAACAATCTCCTAGTTTTGAATTGTTCCCGCTAAAGTTGGTGAGGATTTTTCGAGTACATAATCCTCTAGAAATCTTATTTGTATCAATAAGCTGTTCTACTTCCTATTCCTACCAAAGCCTTAATCTCACTAGTTCAACATAATACATTGGAATGTGCATGCACTGTGGTCTCTTTATCTAGTCCTGATTCGGTAGTTGTGACTAGAGTACGTACTGGTTACAAATGAGAATTTACTAACTGCTATATTGAAATAAATGAGACCCATTCTACCATTTTGGAAATGAATGTTCATTTCGATGTATAAATAACAAAATGTGATTTATCACGGCTTAATTCTCCTGCAAACCATTTTGACAGAATGCTTGTATACACGCTTTATAGCTATCAAGATAACTTTGGATAGGATGTGAATTTTCTGACTGTGAAAGTGACATCACACTGAAGTTCTCTAATGACTTCGGAACTGTTTGATTCATCATATCATTGATTAGCAATTCTATCTCCCATATGTGAACTGTGAAAAAGCCCAATATCTGAAATGATATCAAAAATATGATTCAAGTTTAAGTCATTCAGAAAATGATTCTCACAGACTAGATCATATGATACAGAGTTCTGCTTGCAGTTTTATGAATATATATTTCCCAAAATGACAGACGCATACCAAGCAGTTACATAATTCTGATACCATAATGGAAAATACATCTAGGTAGTCCGAGCACACCTAGCTGTTAGACTGTAAAGATATGTCCAGTGTGAACATCACGAAATTTCCTGATGTTTCGTGACTCAGTCAATCAAAACAAACGAGTTTGCCCAAGTTGATGTCGTTTCACTCAGGTCAAGGTAATTTATGTAAGACATACTTATATATTTGTGTCTGTTAATGGATGAAAAATTTGATACATGTAATAAGAAAGGATAGAATTGAATTTGTATGTATGGTAATAGTGTAAGATGTGAATAGAATCAGATATGGTAGCTCAATAGATGGTCGTCCAAGGCCTTCTATTCTACTGAGGGCTATAGGATTCAGCAATATATGGAAAGCTTCAGCTACTGGCAATTCTTCGCAGCTGGAAAAGCTTTTTTCTATTATTTTGATATTCATAACATCGACTTGATGGTTATTGAAGAAATTATGCACTGCTATAACCGATTCAATTCGGATTCTTTCAGGTTCTGCAGGATCATTAGGTGGCTTTTTGTGTACTTAAGATGGCTTGAATCAATATTACACGAGATGACTCTCCGATACAGAAGGTACCACTATCGACACAATCTAATTTGTAAACGCAATTCTGTGTTGACTTAAAGCGAATCTTATCCCTTATATGAACTGAAGCAGTTTGAAGAATGGTGGTTGTTTTGTAGTATGCTGTGATTCTGTATTGTTTTAAGACTCTTTGGAGTTCTTCTGTTATACCGTGGCGGTATGGTAAAATACAGTATCAATCTATGGTGCTTCTTTCAAACTATTGTTTAGCAGTAAATAGTCTCGTTTTAGTGCATTTTTATAATAATTTTCAGAGGAAAAATTATTGAATTGTAAGATGTTAATTATGTGCTTTTTTATCTATTTCAGATGTAATGTTGTTTGCTTTTCTAAAAAGATTTATGGCCAGAGAGATTTTTGAACTGAATCAAAGTGCCGAATCGAAGTCAATATGACGATCCGATAGTGTTAGTTTTCTGTAGATGGTTAAATTTGGAGTTTCAATTCACTTCCTTTTAATTGAATAGTGTGAAAATGAGAGCTGACTGTGTTTATTTTCATTCTTGCAAGTAAAATTAATATGGGATGAGAGTGTATTGATCAGTTTAGTAAAAGTATGTAAGAGTCTTTTTCATGAAGACAAAAGTGACACGATATTGACTTGGCTAAACCTGTTTTTTGACTGATCGTACTATATATCTGTTTTATTTATTTGTACTATTTAAACTTGGGTTAGTTTAATTTATTTATTTATTCTCCGATGAAGTCATGAAACATCATTGGGATGTTAAAAATACATCATTTTTATTAGCAACAATTTAACCAACATTCAATTTATTTGAAGTCAATCCTTGGTAACGATACTTGAAAATTATCTATTATACGGGATCTCATTGGTAGATAGTTTATTTTTGATAAAGTGATCCAACATATAATGATACTTACCTTTTTTTCAACAGTTCAGCACTAACTCCATAAAGTCTCTGTGAATAGAAATCGACTTGAACAAAAGGCGACCAATTTTTAAAAGCGGATCCTACGTGTGCTTTTAACCATGGTATAGGATTTATCAACATTTCATTAGTCCAAACCGATATTTCATTAGATTCTTCTACTAATTGTGAAACAGAATCATCGAGTGTAAGCACTGTAACAGTTACATCGTACATACTAGATACAGACAATGGTTTATCTATAATTCTTGGGATTTGATTGTACTGACCAGGAGACAAATTTGCAGGATTATCGTATTTTCGTACAAGTTTCTAAATGGGATTTCGAAAGCAGATATTTCAATACCAGCCCACTTGCAGAAGAGAACGTAGTTTATTAAATTCAATGTACAGGAACAACTAAATAAAAATTTTACATAACCGCGACTACATAACAACGTTCGCAAATGACACAAACTATTTGTTTCAGGAAACCATAGAAAAGAATTAGGCTTAAAATATACTGTATCTTATAAAAAGTTAAACAGATATAATCCCAAGTCAAACAGATTCAAACTGCGTCAAAGCAAACACTTATTGCTTTGAAAATTCATTAGAAAGATGTAAATAATCGTTAAAATCTATAGTTTCCCTTTTACATAGATTTCGAACTGGAGAATTAAAATAACTCTAATAAAATCTTATGATATAAAGAAAATATGAATCTTTTGGGATTTATAGGAGTAAATCATACAAGTGAATAAAACTCACCATAACAGTATATATAGCATTTAAGTACAGGTAAATATGTTTATATATTGGCTTGTATAATATGATAAGAGGTGAAAATGATGAATACATTTAACCAAAAATGTTTCAAACAGTCAACGAATTTTTATAGTCATACATGGCTGGAAGTTAGATGAGCTTATATATGGTTGAAAGTAATTAGATATATCATGCAAACTGCTTGTGAGTAAAATCAGATATAACATTAGTATATGTACTGAAACATTTATTCCCCTCCGTTAAAAAGACCAAAAGCTAGAAATAAATTATAATATAATTTGATACGAAAATTTGAGTAGTAGTGGTGATTGTCCACATAAATATATAGGCTATTTAATTAAACCTAACAATCTCTTAAATGATATTTACAAATAAGTAAACTACAATAAAACTCATTAGTATTTCAAATTCATGTATAACGAGGTGAAAGAAAGCAAGAGACATAGCTTCTATGTATGCGAATGAATATAATAATACAAAACTAAATCTGTAATTTATACGAAACATACTACAAAAATAACCTGACCATGTTACTTATTCAATCGCGATTTCTTATTGACGATATCAATGGGAAACACGGAAATGAACCGATGGGAGATTAAATTTTTCAGCTGTGGTAACAACTACCACGAGCACAAGAGATAATTTCATAAGCCACTATTAAGTCTTATGAAACAAAATTACATTGTGCAGTTTCCATCATAAATTGACCTTAAATAGGGAACCACTCCAGATCAGAAAGCATTGGATAATCGATTTACCCTAGTATCAAATTCCTAAGCAATGTATAATCACAACCTCATCGGGAATCGAACCTACAATTTTTAGGTCTTGTGGCCACGCCCCCAAATGCCTTGGTATGGCCTAGAGTGGGGTGAGCCCGCCCTCCCTCTCGAAATACTCTCACACGGCCACGCGTATACTGCCTCTGCCAGGGAAATTCTACTTACTGCCTTTTTGTGGCGGAGGTGTTGTTTACAAAAATGAGAGGACGAAAAGCGAATGTCCGGCGCTTTAACCGGATCCCAAACCAAATCAGAGTTGCACATGGGCTCCAGTATCCTGCAGGAACAAATGGTGTATGAACCAATTCCTTGGTCACCGGCTACCATGGTACTGCATCTCCTCACGATGCTCCAGTGGCTTGTGGGTTAGACCTTTAGATCAAAGGCTTGAGGTGTGGCCCCCTAATAAACCACCTGCTTCGTTGTGGGCACCCGGGCAGTATCTTAGCCCGCACATAAAAACATGATAAACTATCTTGGACGATGGGTAGAGTTCTTCGAAAGCCCTATATAAAAACACCTCAGGCAGAGTGAGGGCATATAACCACCTCTTTCTATTGTTCCATTCGAGCAGTGTAGTTAGACAGGGTTGCCCAATCTCACCATTCCTCTTCAACTTTGCCATCGATGACATTCTGGAAACAGCTCTGATGGATGTAGGTAATGGCGCTGTGGATCTGTTGCCTGAAGAAATACTTCTCGACCTTGAGTATGCGGACGATATTGTCTTACTGTGCGACAATGCACAAGGCATGCAATCCGCACTTAATCAGTTGGCAATCAGTGTCCGTTGGTACGGTACGTGCTTTGCACCTTCGAAGTGCAAAGTACTTTTACAAGACTGGCAGGATTCTAACCTTGTACTCACTCTGAATGGTGATAGAAGTAGTCGAGTAGTTCGTGTATCTAGGTAGCTACATTAATACTGGTGGTGGCGTGGGTGACGAGATCAATTCACGTATACTGAAAGCTAGAGCGTCTTAAGCCAATCTGGGCCATCTTCGACGCCTTCATGATGTCAGTCTGGCTGTAAAAGGTCGGATCTAAAACGCATCGGTGAGAGCACTTTTGCTCTATGCTTGTGAAACCTGGACTCTCCGAGTTGAGGACGTTAGACGACTTTCTGTGTTCGATCATCGTTGTCTCCGAAGGATTGCAGACATCCAGTGGCAACACCATGTCAGTAATGCAGAGGTTCGGCATCGTGTGTTCGGGTACAGAGACGATAATCCAATTGATGTCACTATCTTGAAACACCGACTCCGATGGCTTGGACATGTTCTACGAATGTCGTCCCAGAGAATCCTACGTCGTGCACTATTTGCCGACTCTGAGAGTGGTTGGAAAAAGCGGAGAGGTGGTCAGTATATGACATGGTATCGTGGTATGAAAGAAAGCTGCAAAGGGCTGGCTTATGTTGGTCCCTCACGAATCCCTGGCTCGGGTCCTAGAGATGAAGCAACACAGTGGCTATAGACGTTATCAGATATGGCTCAGAATAGAAGCCAGTGGCGATCTTGCTGTAACCTTCTTTTACTTTCTTCATAAAAAGCGGTTGCTTCTTCACAAATGAAAGATTTTTCCTGATTGTACCTTTCCGTTCCCCCATCATTATCATTACACTACCTTACACCAATCTGGTCGTTATTGTTCTTTTTTACGCTCCTTACCTTCTTTTTTCTCTTACCATTTTCATTGTTTTGTGTGGTGCATATATATTTGATGCCCTCTTGTACCAATATTTATGTGTTCAAATAAATAAATAATGCGACCACTGTTTAACATTTGAACCACCGAACCAGCATCCAACGAATTATATGTGTAAATTCCATCAATTGGTAGTATTTCCCAACTATCTTTCAATATCATTTGTAGGTAATTACTGCAAACATGACATAGTTGAAATCAAGCACAACAGAACTACAAGTGATTATCGCACAAAACTGGTCACTAGTGAACATACGATTATTATTTAGTACTGGGGTCAGTCTGTAATGTAATCCATAAAATTCAAAAAATTTCATAATTTTTACATTATTTAAGTCTAAAATTACTATTGTAAATGTATGAGAGAGTAATTTCACTTACCATAAGATGATTGGTTTGTATCAAAACATTATCTAATAAATATTTCATATGTAATGCTAATACCTCTGAAGGTTGACTATTTTCACTTGACATAATTGTTGATGGAATAAAAATGTAGATTAAATTCAAATGTAATAAATTTCTAATAATTGAAAATGGTTTCATTGATGTAGTAGATTTGTTAAAATTCATCCCCTCTAACCATAAATTATCAATATTGACCATTGGTAATAATAGAAAATGATAAACAGATGAACTGCTGTTTCTTCTTTGTTCAATAAGATGATCGCTGTCAACGACAAAATGGTAAACTATTGTAATAATTAAATTAAAATGAAAATATACATACATAACATCAATGCACTGAGAAGTCGGTTTACAACATGGTGAATACACGTACCATAATCAAATAAATAAAACTATTAATTCAGATCAATCGATTGTAAAAGTAATCATAATATGTGAAAAACTATCCCTATACTAAATAAATATCTAATTAGTTGAGAGCGTGATAAAACTAACTAATCAATTCTATTTTTATTGATCAAATAAAATACTGAACTATTATGATAAACTGAAATCACAGAAATATTTCATACGGTTATTGTTACACTGTCACCAGCGAAAAAAACAAAACAATTTCAGATTCCAAAATATTCGCATAATCATCTTATGCATTGAAGGCAGAGAAAAAACATATAGACATAAATGCCATTTATCAAATTCAATAAATATTTAAATGTTGTAAAGAAATGAAAACATTTTTTGTCAATGTAAGTATGCATGTAACTTCGTCTGTAGTTAGGTATCATTATTGAGGTTTGACTTGATAATTTCGAATAAACTGAGCATCTAAGATCCTTTTCAAAACAGATCAACACACTTTAATCGCACATCAAATTTACTAACGAGAACAAAAATGGACATGGTGAGCTACCATTTTAGATTGCTTAGTGAAAAGAGATGTGAATGGAATTTTAAATTTATCCATCTACCGAAAATCTACACACTCTAATCGTTATATTGACTTCAATTCAGCACACCTGTTCAGTGCAAAGATCTCGCTAGCCCTAAATCCTTTTAGAAGAGCTAACACGATTATCACATCGGAAGAAGATAAACGAAAAGAACTAAAGAATGTAATTAGCATCTTACAATTTAATAAATTTTCTACGATGATTATTAGAAGTATATTAAAACAAAACGTTTCATTACGTAATAATAGTAATTCGAATGAAATATCATGGATCGGTACTGCAGTTTCACTATACTGTCATTGAACAACAGAAGAACTTCAAACAATCTTAAAACAACAGAGAATTAGAGTATATTGCAAAGCAACGAACACACTTCGAAATACTTTAGTTCGCTTGAAAAAACAGAGCTGTGTATACAAATTTGGATTTGTCGATTGTAATATCTTCTATATTGGAAAGTTATCTCGTGAAATCTTGACTCGTACCAAATAACATATTAGCTACACAAAGAAACCTCTTAATAATCCCATAGAACTGGATAAACCCCAAATTACACTGGCGAAATCAGTCCACGCAATTTTCAACGACAACCAAATCGATTTCGAAAATATGAAAATATTACAAAAAGGTTTTTCCAATTACAAGGAAAGGAGAGTAGCTGTAGCTTTCTATATAATGCTTAATCCTACTGCTCTCAATAGAAAATAATGCCTTACCATACATCCTACTTGGACTATCTATCCTAGCCACCTAGTCCGATATTATTCACAATTCACACTATTATCTTACATAAAAATTAAAGGTCAACAAGAACCAATCAACATCGAAGTCTACAGGACAAACTGTGAACCACACGAGAAATTCGATCACTTCACTTCTACCTGAAGTTTGTGCTGACGATGTCGTTTAGAAAGACGATGAAAGCCTCACGACTCAACCATCCAGCTCAGAGAACAAAACTCCATCCTTTCTCACCATAAACGTCACACATTTTCCATCCTTAACAGTGCACACTTACATATACACAAATGTACATACATGTTGCTTATGGATCACGCTGACCGAAATGACATGACTGATTTCTTCAGCTCTGTCGTTTGATTGATCAGATAATATTCTTGTTGTTCGATTTATACTATTTAAACGTGGATTAATTTTGATTTGGTTATTTATACTCTGAAGAAATGGCTTACATCAAGCCACAAAACATCAGAAAATTTGATTTTTCTACTCATTGGGATATTACAAATATATTAATTTATTCGTCTGTAGCTCTTTAAAGGTTACTGCCGATCCAAAGTCGGTGGGAATAAAATAGGTAAGCGGAAAACACCAACTGGGATAAACCGAATAAACGATATTTTAGCAAAGATATCCTTTATAGGAAAATTTTATTCGAATGCCGAAGCGTTATTAACTACCAATCCATGCTACTGGTACGAATTAATATAACGACCATGGACAAATTACTTAAATATTTCAAGACCTATTTTTATGTTAGACAAAACGCTTATGGAGTGTGGAGTAATGTTTCCTAAGATTGTTGATATTGTCGTTCACCATGTTTACAAAATTATGAATGGTCTCACTCTATTGTAACAGTAAGTTGAGTGGATAAGGCAACGATTCCACTGAAGTTGAGGGAATAAAGCATTGAGTATGCATGGATAAAAATGGACAGAGTAATCAATCCTCACAAGTAACACTAAACCATTAAATGCGATAAGCTTACGACGAAAACTGGAACAATAATATAAGTGACCAAAAAAACACTGAGTTATGAAATCAAAATAGGATGATAACTTATAGTTAGCTTACAATGTTCTCATTTTTAGTGAGGACTGGTAGTAATTAGATCCAGAGCCGAGACTGTTACTAACTCTGGTTAATACTAGTTAAACTATATGACATTTCAATGTTAATTTCTGGTGTATACACTGATGACGTATATGAGTCACAAAGTCAGACGAACAGATGTCTGCTATAAGTGAGACTGAAAAGTCATACGTTAAGTCACTATTTCACTATTAATAGACAAGATTAAACTATTCTTTAAGAAAAAAAATTAAAGTAACATATATGTAGCAAAAATTTCAGAAAAACTGACAGTTATATTAAATAAAGCTAATACTGTTCTGCTACAGATATATTATCATAGGGTTTTGTTATTGTATGTGAAGCAAGAATGAGATACAAAATTTATTCAGGAGTGGGGTTCAACGATTACTACTACCTTTAAAATGATGGCAAAATGTTCACTTTATTAAAATATTGTGATCTAAACTGGTATGTTTGACCACACCAGGAAAACATTAATTCACTTGCTTAAAAAATGATGTTTGTTTATTCGTTTAATCAATCAACAAGACCTATTTATGTTAATAACTCTTGAGTTCTAATTCTATAATCGATATTGGAATTGTACACAGTATTCCACTATGAATAAGCGAGCGAGTTAATATAAAATTGTATATTTAGAAATTATTTAATAGCCTATAGGTCAGTTAATTCATTAAGCGTTTTTATCCGAAAAGCTACAAATTTTTAAATAAAACAAAACATTAATATATCAATCTTGTCCTGAAAAGTATGATGAATTTAAACGCTACTACTGATATTAACTAGTAGTAGGCTGTATTTTTTACAGATATGTCAGCAGTGAACAGTTATCACCAATGGTATCAAATGATTGGAAGCTGACCTAACAGTTTAATGACTAGGAGTTCGCCACGAGACCCGCAGTTCCCGAGTTCAATCATGATTAGAATTGTGAGTGCGCAATACTGAAAAGCATCATACAATGATTAAACATCCATCCACTGATCTTTAGTTTTAAAAAGTATACCAACTGAAATCAATTTGTGACGAACATAACCCACAAATTAAGCTAACCTCCATAAAACCACTTCAATTTAACTTCCAGAACGATAACAATTCAATGGCGTCATTAAGATCGCTCTGATTTAATTGTATATTACCATCAGAACGGAATCATAAATGTTTGTCAATAGATATACCCACTATACTATCTATCAGACTGTAAGTCTACGATAGTCCGCAAGAATAATGTCAGATTTTCTGCTAAATTTTTTTTATCAAGATGGATGCTAAAACCGATTTTCTATTTAGGCTTTTTCAACTAAGTTCCTTAATTTAATTTTCAAAAACGATGGAAGGACCTTTGTGGAGATTGATCTCAGTTGAGGTATCACTGAAAATTCGGAGGCACAAGATAACTGAATGGGAGGAAGAGGAAACAACTAGGAAGAAACTACGAGGAAATAACTGATCACCGCACTCCCGTTTTTCAACGGTACGTCAACTGAAATCAATAAGTGATGGATACAACCTACAAAATTTCAAACTATTTAAATATTACTTTACTTTTCAAAGCTCTCCGGAGTGCCTTTTATATTGAAAGCATTCAATAAGCTTAAATTTTTTTCAAATGTTAACCAAAAGCTAAGAATATCATTTGAAAGCGACTTTGTATATGTTCGGATTTCTAACTGATTCATCATTTGTCTGGTATTTACATGATAATTCATTAAAATTTCATCAGAGCTATTTGTCACCGTAAATGCTTGCTGCTCCAAATTAAAACGGGTGAATATTTCACTGATTTGGTGTAGACTTTGATCATCAAGTTCAGCATGAAAATTGAGCACATTGATCTGATGATAGGTAAGAAAATAGAAGTAAACAAACAATAACCTATTTAAAACAGCTTGTAACAATGAAGTTTATCATATTTTTAACTGCCTCTGAATCATTTGGCATATTCCATGTGGCGACAACATATTATTATTATTCTTAATGCTAATATACATATATGTAAACCCCGATCGGGATCAAGAAAATGAGCAACAGCACCATATGGTAAATGGCCTAGCTACATAGTAATGATACTTTCAAGTAATAATCAGTTAACCATAAAAACAAGTTTCAATAACGATCCTTATGTTTTTGCTTTATCGATACGATGAATAGGTGTTGAATTACAAACGCCGCATGTATTCAGTGTTTGTTTAACGAACAGTTGTTAATATAATTATCAATCTCACCCTCCACCTCATCCGTCCGTCTAACTAAAATAACTTGTGAAATTGTCTTTTCCTCGGTAAACCATGCTTAACTGCAACCACATCAATGGTAGGAGTTTTACTATCATCAATTTTTACATTCCTTCAGTTTCCACCAACTGGTAACTACTTCTTATTCATCCAGCTGCATAATTAACACATACAGTTTGTTCATGTAAATTGATTACAACTGTCTGCTTTCATTGAGATATCTTAAATAATAAAATTTAGCCTTGCGTCAACTTTTTAGTGCATCAAATAGAAAACCTTATCTGAAACAACTAGCACTGAGTAGCTACAACACAATCACGAATTAATCGATGTACACTAATGGGTTCTGCACTTACCTGTACAAGCGAGAGTTCATGATACTAGGTAAATTGTCAAATAGACAAAACTGTTACTACTACCTTGACGTGGTGCTTGGGATTTGATATTTAAATAACTCAATAAAACTAAACTAGCTGAAACAATACCAGATAGGTTGATTGGAGTTTGAAAACTGAAAGCAGTAAACTTAAGGTCTAGAAGTGAAGTTGTACACCCGTGTGCACAGATCAGTAACTACAGTGTGGTGTTTTCCAGATACAACCAGCACCTGCAGCGATGATATCTTCTCATAACGGAAGGAGCGTGTCAGAAAAAATCCCCTCTACAAATAACACAACATACCGTGCTACACCAATTTCCGTCGTCAGAGACAAGGTTTGAAAATTACAGAGTTAACAAATAAAGACCTACTAGCAAGAGGCGTGTGTAACTGACCATAATTAAACATTATCTGGGCTTGATGATCATGAGCCAGTGTTACCAACACCACCCTCCTAATCCAGTTTATTTTTCACATAACTCCAGACGTATCCGTTTTCAATATGGGTAACTTAGAAGTCAAGATCACTTATATCTCTATTTGGACATAATAACACCATTTTAATCACGACCAAATCCCACCTTTCTATTTCCGAGACCAATCACCTGTCATCTGTCTTTGACTTCTCCCATATGTGCCACCAGTGCTCATGATCCGAGTTTGTGGAATACTGTCCGAGGTATCTTGAAACTAAATCGAAGTGAAAGGAGTATTGAATACCTGGGATTTAATGGTCAAAAATTAACTCCTCCAATCACTTTTTATATAATTACCAATGCGGAGTACGTAGTCCATCATCTGGAGTATTCGTCTTTCAATCAACGTGTCGTATGCTACGATTCTCATCCCAGTTTCTTCAACCGGGTATTATATATATATATATATATATATATATATATATCATGCCCTCCATACAACTACTGCAACTACAAAGTCAAGTACGCACATCTATACTTTGTAAATAAATTGAACGGAAATTAAACTTTTCAGAGTCCCAGTTATCTTAAATAAATAATCACTACACAATATTATCCCATTTTAAACACATCAACAAGTTACAAAAAACCATAATAAACGCATTGGACACAATTCATCAGATGAAATTTCGCTCAACACATACACAAGCAAACAGATTATACTTACTGGTACAGTTATCTCAATTTTACGTGAGCTCAATATTTGAATCTCATTATAAGGCAATGAAGCGTGATATGGTGTAGTAGTTTTCCACCATAAAGGTACTCCAATCAGAATTGTAATCAACAAATAGAATATTGAGTTGATGATAGTCTTGTATTTTTCTTCCGACGTTGCTTGATATGTTTGCAATTCTGGATAGTTGTCAAGAGATGTTTTGAGCTGAGACGATGACTTGTATGAATTATGCATCATCATTGTCATTAACAATCCTGTAAAATATGAAGCACACAGAATATTGAGATGAAGAAAAGTGTGATGAACACAGCTAGATATAGACTTGTGTGCACTAGACTAGATTTACAAATTCCCCATTAAGTATGAAAGTTAATTGCACTACTACCACTAAGTGTTCGTGCGTTTACATAGATTATTAGCTAATCATTCACCTTCCCGATAAGTAGATCAGAATTTTGAACTTTGATTCACTCATAATATAGAAAGTCACATATTTGTAACGTCCCAATCAGTAGAAAATCGAAACTCCCAAGTTGCTACCCACAGGGAATATACAAACAACCATATCTTACATGTTTGCAGTTCTATCCTACTGTAGAGTAAGGTAAAACTATTGTAACAGCCTATGACATTTCATTAAACTTCTTTTTAAACAAATCACCCCGTTTTAAAAAGTATTCATAAGAAAGTTACTGAGTTCCAAGACCGTCATTGTATTCGCCTTCTGATTTAAAAGTTTTGGTAATTCTTCTGAATGAATTTAAAGCGCTGAAAATTCCTCCACTAAATAATGTGCTATTGAACTCGACATACTGATTAGAACGTGTTGGTTTACGGTAAATGACTACATCCAGAATTCCATTTAAATTTCCTTTGAGTAAGCAGTCTAACAATGACACCTCAGTGAGTTCGTTTTCATTTACGAAAGTGGATAAAAATGTGAATCTACACGGAACATGAATAAGTAAGCAACAATCAGGAACATAGGCGGGACTCACGTCCACTTTGTTTTCATCTGTAGTCCTTCTTTGATGTAAATAAGATCGAACTGAAGTACAGTTCAAGGAATAAACTGATGTTTGAACGATTCTAGATAGCCAACAACGAAATAACCAGAACCTTTATTAATAACGTTGTAAACACCATATCCATCGAACAGATTAGTGTCTACCCGAATTCAGTAGCTCAATGAATAACGCTCTCATGTTTGAAGTGAAAAAGGTACAGGAGATTGAGTCTTAATGTGAATATCAACACTAAGACGCAGACACATTCAACCGACGAGTCACAGCTCATCTATTTTGCGAAATCTCATTAGATTTCATAACATCGAAATTAATGAAGACAAAACACTCGTGAGTATTCAAATTCCTAAAATCAGATTAAGATGGAAACCTATTCTCACGGTAAGAATCAAAATAAAGTTTTATCTGGAATCAATGTCAGCTACAGAAAATTAATCAAAACCATGATGGAAATCTGCTCGTTTCCACAAACACTGAGTAATGACAAACAGTCATTTGGTCATTCATTCATGAGTAGTTTCGATATGAATTCTGTGAAATTCTAGAGAGGTGCTATGATGTGTGAAATTAATCCAATCCGGTGGGAAACACTTACTCATGGAATTGACTTTAGTAATAAATTTGGATCACTGAATATCGTATTCGCACAGATACCAGGTGATACTAAGTATTAAGGACTGATCAGAAGTTTTAACCAGAAACCAGTTTATATGTGGTTCCTGATTTTCATAGTACTTTAACTGAAATCAGTTCCTGGTGAATAATAATGTTGGGAAACTATCCACTAATGTGATACCCTTATACAACTATCCTATACATTTGTTGAATAGATATATTCATAGGGATATGGTTGAATGATTTCGTCAATCAAATTCCAACCATTAAGCCACAAATCGGAATAAATCTTTATTTAACTAGGTTTGGAAAGTCAGGGATTTTCTTCTACCTACAAACAGAACGTGTAGTTCAAAGCTTGATAAACCAATGTTCAGTTAACGAATTGGATTAATAGTTTGTTAATTATTTGCGAAATAATAAACAACAATCACAACATATAACACTACTAGAGAAAAGACATTAGAGAATAAATGTAATATATTTATTTGTTTATAGAATAAAATAGTTTTGTCCATAAAAAGCAAACATCATAAATGATCTTCTCTTGGATCGAAAGACAACTTTTCCATAAGTTCTGTAAATCTAGAAATATCATCATTATTATCAATTTCATTATTCTTTTCCAAAGATTGAAATTTCGAAGTATTTGATTGATTTAAGCGACTGAATCGGCAAACTTCGGAATAAGCAGGATCTACAGGAACTTGTACTGGTGGCTTGACTATATGATCAGGGTCTAAAGTATACGTGACATCTGGGTCAAAACCCCTTAGATCTCCACACGCAATGAATGGTAATAGAGCTTGTTGAGAAGAATTAACCTAACAAACAAACAAAAATGTTCGAAAATCACTATAGCTTAACTCTATATTCGATTTCTGAATGAGAGTATCAACCAAAATAATAAGGTCATCTTATTCTTGTTACTAATTATTTACTTAATCATTCAATAGGAAAATTAATGCAACATAAAGATAAACGTTTAGATTTACAGGCTGAAAGTATGACGTTTAAATAATGTTTTGCTATTTGACTCGTGACGAATTATTTGGAGCTCATTATTCCTACAGCAGTCATCGATAACGAAGTATTTTCATATACTTTTATACATCCGTCCTCAAAATCTCATACTTGAAAACAGGAATGACCAATGGTTGACCACGACCACTACTCAACTTCAAAAATATGATTAAAAAATACACATAGCTATAAACAGAACATGAGAACGGAATATTCTCTTAGCATTTTGTATAACAAACTGAGTATTGAAGGCATAACATGTTAACATACGTCTTCAAAGTTATCCTTGTCGTACCATAATAATAGCAAACTATCGTTGCTTGAATGATTCTCGAAAGATGTGGATGGTTTCAAATCTGTCCGTAAACGAGGACCCATAAATCCACGACATACAACAAAGGACTCTAAACTAGAGTTCCGACTAGCTCTTGGTTTTGCAAAACTAACATCACCCGAAAACAAAAGTCGGAGCTGGGAACCTAGTAAACCAGAATCTCGTCCACGAAAAACCTTAGCAACAAATGTACCACCAAGCTCAAGAACTCTTGAGCAGATAGTTATAGCAGCTAAGATAAGATGCGACTGAACATATTCATCCAAATCATGTAGACCTGTCACTACAAAAATAATAAGAAAATTGTTAGCAAGATCGTTAATACGTGGAGTAAGGATTTTAAGATTAAAGTACATTACTCAATGAAAATTGGTAGTAGAACACAAAGAGTCAATAAAATAAACCTAATACAAAGTGGCATATATTTATACCAAAAGTTTAAACGGACAGAAGTCCAAACTTACATATAATCAATTTACAAATAGAAAACTATTAACTTGAAAAGCTCAAATTCACTTACCATCTGGAGCACCATCACAAACAACAAGTTGAGCTAACTTGCCGTCAAAATGTTTGATGATCTGTTGAGCCGTATCCTGACTAGTAATATCACCTTGAATTTGAATAACTCCTGGTATTGGGGCCATAGCCTGTAGATCCACGGCAACGATTTTCACCTTCATTAAGAAATATCAATAATGAAATCTCAAAATGTATGCAGTACAGATTTTTTATCCTTTGGAGATTTCGATTCCCATAAACGTTTTGATAATACTTGTGACCAGCTACCAGGTGCAGCACACAAATCAACCACTCGTTCTAAAGGAGCATTTTCTGTAGAAGGGGGGAAGCAAAATAAATGGCAATTGGAGCTCTGATCTTTAGTTCGAAAAAGTTCCCGATTTACAAACCAATCCGTAAAAAAACTGTTATTATTAGTTGACAAAATCTCATGTAAATACACCATATTCTTGAGTTGTAGCCGCTAAGGCTATCTGAAGCCACCACCATGTGCAAAATGCATTACAAGCAATTGATTATTTCAATCGACTTGAAATTTATTAACTTATTGGTACGACCGCTTTCCATCTATAACTTTGCAAGCTCTGAGATTGCACTAGTAGAATACTGTAACAAATTTAACTATGTTCTAGTCAGTCAAATGCTATGATGATATGAGGGTCAAAGTGGATTTTTGAACGAAAACCTTAGACTAATGGTAGATTTCACTACTCATTAGCCAAGAAAAACTAATATGTAGCTGACGAACCGTTGGAATAGTACAGAAAAATCTATGACAACCAGTCTCAAACTTATGTGTAAACCATTTCAAACGCTTCTTTATTCAACTTACTGGTTTACATTGCCATTAATGGTCGGACATCGTTTTCGCGGTGGTTAAGTTTGTTTACTATAAACAGTTGAGTTATATTTCCTACATCACTTGTTTCTTTTTATTTTGCTAGTAGACAAATCCGCTGGAAAGTGGGCTAACGGAAAGAAGTGAATTTCAGGTTCAAGAAGAAAATTCTAATTACCGGCCCTATTCAAAGTGTGGTGGGAACAGCTTTTCCCAGACAACCGGCGACACCACTTTTAAATAAGTAGCAGAATTGAAATAGATTACTGGTGAAATAAGCACATAATCTTAGCTCCAATAATTCTCCTTTCTTACAGTGTAGTTTGAAACATGTGGACTAACCCTAAAAAAGTCGGAGCAGCTATTCACAAAACAGTCGTGTTAGAGCCACTTAAAAGTTATCCCTTAGGTTGTTTAATGAGGTTCACATGTGAATAATGCCAGCATTCACACTATCTCTTCATAAGAATAATCCAAACGGATTCTCCTATGACTTCAATCAGTTTGTCTATCAATCGGTGGACTTCTATAAAAAAAATTTAGTATAACTCGAGTGGCATATTTCATTTTGCCTATAAATCTAAACCACCATACACTTACCAGAAGAAAAAATTCCATACTCATCATCAATCTGTAGCAGCTTATAGGCACTACGTGCTCTCCAACCCTCTTCTTTAGCTAATCTATAGTAAATATCACGTTTATCACGTGAAGACTTCCCCATTATTGATGGCTTCTCTGAAACGGGTAAAATCAAAAGTATGCTTTAAGTTTTGGGGCAACAATCCCAGCAATCTGGTATTTAATTAGCACTATAGTATACTAGAATCTGTTGACAGAACGAAAACTCACGATTAGTCTCTTTAGTAGGATAAATGCAACTGAAATATGAGCAAGTCATATCGTAACGAAACGAACACTTCAGTACTGCTATTAAATGAGTGGATATAGCAAATAAGTATTATAAGAATTTTTACATAAAACCAGAACACTAAGGCTAGAAGACTCATCTCCAATTTATTTTGTGTATATGTAGTTGTAACCACTAAGTTTTTCGGTCCGAGATCATTGAATAAATTTCAGCAGTAACAAACACTCCTGTAACTGACGCTTACACAACTCGTTAGCTATGAGACCTTTCCAAAGAGGATAGGAACTCAGATGGTTGGAGTTGAAAACTACTAGTCAGCAACTGCCGTAAAAATATTGGGAGGTGATTCTCCTTGAACTAACTAAATGATGGTGATACAATTTGATGAGACGTTGGGAGTCAGCAGTATAGCTGCCTATTAACTAGCAACTAACACAGTAAGGGAGCGATTGAATCGACAACTGCATCACTGTGCTAATATGGTATGGCAACTTGAACTGATGTACGCACGTACGAAGTTCTACGTTGTTACTGACTAACAGACAGACAATTCTAAGCTTAAAACATGTGAAAATACGTAAAATATGACAAGTCAAAGACGAAAAAAAGCAGATACCAATATCCAGATGGACCATCCTCGGTAGATTTCAATTTTGGTTTGATTGACTGGGTAGTTAGTCTCGGAGTTTGGTGGCATTTCATCTAACTGATCGCAGTCACTGACGACAAAGTAGTATAGACGTTTTCACACTGAGTAGTCAACGTTTGGAACCTACTGACAGAATTGTTTGACATGTGTTGCGGTCGTCCGAGTCTGACTGACAGAGCATATCAGTGATGCAAGCACTTAATAGACTCGTCCAAGAGAAGACTACAAATATACAAAGGCCTACTACGAAAAAGCTAACATAGACCTCCAGCCCTCCTTCCTCAAACCACAAATCTCATCTGTTTAAAAAAAGATGGTAGTCCAATTGTGATGATCAGAAAGGAATTAATTCAATCAATGGTGATTAAAATCTAAGCTACTAAAATCCTTGGATGGTTTTCCGAAACCTATGATCAAGGAGTCCGGAGAAACAAGCTAGTAATAAGTGGAAAGAAGATTAGGATGATCGAGTACTTAGCTCATGAGATGTTTCAGAACTTGGAAATATTGCCATCAGTCCTTATAAGCTCACATTCATAGACCAAAAACAAGTTTTCAACTAAGTTGTAATATGAGTGTTCATCGGTCACAAGACACACAGATAACTATGCACATGATGATAAATGCAATTACACCTATGTGTCTTGTGACAGATGAACACTTAGTTCACAACTTGATTGAAAACTTGTTCTTGGTCGATTATTGTGGCCTTATAACTGATGGCAATAGTAAGTCAGTTCAGGTCGACAGACCTCCTATCCTTATTACTGAAGCTTGGACACACTTTTGTCGAACACTTAGAATGCACTCACACTTTATAAGGAGAGAAATCAACAACAATCTGAAGTAAAACAAGCGCGAGATTAAAGGAATATTCCAACTGAAATCAAAAATGGAAGATGCAGCGCCGGCAGCGCTTCAAGGATGTCGATCTCAGTTAAAGGATGTGGGCACTTGAAGGTCAAACTGTCGCAAGATGATTGGTGCGTCACATCGACAATTCGTGAAGTTTTTCAGAAGCAGTCAAATCAAGACATCTTTAGATTTGAATTGAGTTCAGCCACACCATGTCTGATAACGTCCATCGTGATGATGCATGATGTAGAATGAATCTTCAGTGATATTATGTTATTTCGTCGATTTACAAGTTGGGACACTTTTGAGACCTATTTAAAAGAAGTACACAAGGTAATATGACTTCTTTGGTTACGAATTATTTTTTTAGTATACGGATGCAAAGTACGTTATGTAAAGAGAACAATGATGACCCAACACCAAATTATTTTTTTGTGAGATATGTCTGAACATATGGATGTAAACGCAGTTCGTCGGCGAAACTCTAATTTGTGGACGAGCCAATCAGAAGTGTCTTAGAGATTCAAAGGTTACGGCGTCAACTTCGGTCATAAATTAGAGTCTCGCTGGGCAACGCTCCAGGGGTTTAGCGACACTTTTTGCGCTACTTTTTCATTTCTCATTTTTGCAAAGCCAAAGTTCGAAATTAATTATAGATAAATGTGAATGTTAATTTTCCGTTTTCACAATTAGGTGGAAGGGGGTTTTTTATCTTGCGGTACAGGGTATCGCGAAGTCCTTGAAAATTTATTAATCAGGTGCTGTTATAATAACTTTTCCGTATTTGTATTGTAGACTAGCAATTATTTCCACTTAACTTTACACTGTGGGTAGACACATTTTATTTTTATATGAAATAACATGATCCAAGCATATGTCGTCATAAAAATTGCATAGTCGTCAAGGCTATCAAAACTGCGAAACAAGTAACGATACCATGATAAGATTTATCGTTTTTCTCTTCTTTATTGCAACTTTGGCTTATTTCCACTGTTTTGTCCATTTTTTTATGGCAGAAATAGGTAAACAGTGAATATTTTAGCTTTTCTGAGGGTTGTAAATGTCATGTATATGGTAAAGATGATTATAACACATACCAAAATGGTAATATAACCTTCTACAGTTAGATGTATAAGCTACTGAATCATTATATTGAAGGAAATAAATCGGACTTGTGTGTAAGAGGTACAACTGTGTGAAGATTTCATCAGACACTAAGCTAAGATAGCTTTACTACCTCTTGTATGGAGTTCCAATGTTTTGGCTGCCGGTATTCTTGCAAAGATAGCTAATAGCAGAAATAAGTACTATTATGAAGTGGTTACGAGGAAACGTTGAAATGCACAATTTATTAATTCAGATATCCTGATCTCAGGTGGCCAGATTGTCCGAGGTCGTATATGATGATCTTCGAAAATCAACCAAGGCGTGTCTTGCTTACGTGCTTATGATGGACTAAAGTAACATATGCATCAGTAATTACATATTACATGGGACGATTCAAAGTAAGTTCACATGGCAGTCTTTACATATGTTCATTTTCTAAGTTTTCGAAGTGCAACCTGTCCAGAGAACCAAATAATACAAGCCATGTATCTTGCGAGCCAGACTTTCCTAAGCAACGCAAGAGGTAAAGTAAATTAGCATGGGTGGCGATTCAAAGAAAGTGTGCTACATGTACTTTCGATCTGTGATTGAATACCGGTTTCTGTTTTAATATTATTTTCTAGTCAATATTTATGCTGAAATAATTATTTCCTGTCTATCTTATTTCCAGCTGGCTTCGCAAGTGTTCACAGACCTAACTGGAAGATTTTAATTCAGAAAACATTGTTATGCCATTGGCATGCTTTATGAATTCATAGGTTGGATAATGGCCATGACATGGGGCATTCATTTGTCTAGTATAAGCTGTTCTGATACTGCATTTGCAATAGACTGTTTTTGTAGAACACTGAATGAAAGTTCAACACCAACCTGATGTACTTAACCAAAACGCAAGATCAATTCTTAAGAGCCGGAAGTTATTTATTGATGGATCATTTCTGCTGGTTTTAAACTTCAATAATTTTTTTCATTTATAACGCATCGGTTTCTTGATTACGAAAATGCTTATCTATCATGACAGATCCGAATTCGACCTAGTAGTATAGTACACCATATTCAAGTTTGCAGTATTTGGTAAACGGTCTGTATGGCTAATCGCGTGTGCGCGAACCTGATAACTGTTACAACCAATATCTCTATCTCACAACCACATAAGACTTCACAGTACACTCTCCCTGCCGTAACGCTATAAGAACAAGTTGATGGCCATAAAATGAATCTATGTAAAACTAAAAAGATTACAATTTTAGAACTTCTTATCAAGAAGCATAGCTATGGTCAGTGAGAACAATGGATTCTGACAAAGTAGCTTCATCACTAGCACTGAGTGAACTCATAACTTGTGCGCATATGTCTTCCGATGCTTCAAGACATGAACGGATGAGTTTACTTGTCAAAGGTTCACTAGGAGCATGGATTGAGTGGTAGTTGTTAGTGAACGTCTTTAGAAGATCATCACTCCCTGTAGAGATTGACACGTTATCCATCGCGCGAAGATCCAAATCCATTATGTATTTCCTTGTCCACCGGCTGCTATTTCGAAATAAGTCTACAATGCTTATAGAGACAAAGAAACACATACCTTGACGAATTAGACTTTTAGAATATGCATACAAAATATTAACACAGGGCAGCATTTAGTCAGGATTTCGAACCTACAGAAAATAATTTTTACAGCTAACACTTACCTTCCTAAAAAATGTCCTTAATACATGGAATGAACAAAGTACTATGTTGGCATGACTGTGTAGACTGTACCGCTGAAATTCCGGTCGCTGCCGAATCCACGACGAAAGTGTGTGTATCATAAGTACCGCACATCATGTATTTAAAGCACTCCAATAGTCTTACGACATCTTCGAGTCGTTCTTGCCTGAAAAGAGCATACATAACAGTGCCCTTGCTCATCAGCTACTAGCTGGAACAATGGAAAACTTTAACATAAGTTTACTACTAATCGTTACTTACCCTATTTTGTTGGTCTGATAGGTCGAATCAATACATATTACCTCCGGGGAAAGGTGATAAACAGCTATTTGCTACCTGCGGCTGAAGTAAATCATAGATATGTTCCCGTTTTCATTGAATACTTCTACTTTAGTGTTCGCTTGAATACACTGTAAGATTTCATTGATATTTTAGTGTCTAAACTCAATTAATTACAATGTGAGTATAACTGTGAACGCATTCTGGCGATATCGTCCTTGCTAAGTTGTTCATAGAACCTCCAAGAAACCAGATGCCATAAGCTACGAGTTGGTGTAATACTCTGTAGTGACTTACTTTTATCACGAGAACACGATTGGTTCAATGAAAACAATTATTATTATAACCGGTTGTACCAGTGACTGTTTTAATGTGCTCTTTGCTTAACTGTGCTAAAAACATCCATTATACTAACTTCGATTGTGACCTCGCGCGAATCCGGTTACGCTCTTTAACCAAGCTTGTATCCTGGCACGATCTCGGTATTCTTTCGATTCCACGAGATCGCAAGCAAATATATCTCGACTTGGTCCATTAAATGCCTTCTGATATTTGACTTCCGGAGGATTTTATGGATATCCTGGCGCGCGTTCTTTTGTAGTGGTGTTCATAGTCAATCTCGAATCGAAACCACGCTACAACTTAGTAGAAACGTTCTGAAATATAAGTATTCACTTGACGTCAACTGACGTCTTGAAGGATCTACAGAAATATATCCTTCCATGCAAAGATGGTTGTGCACGGTCTTAATAGAGGTGACTTTTAGCTCACCATTTACTGCACGAACCCAAAATCCGGATTGACAATGGAAATATTTAGACCTGTAGGAAAAAGTTAATCGAACTAAGACATACGTAAATTACCGACATCGTCTTCTTTGTTTAGGTTGTGGTGGTGAGTTGTAAGTTGTATGCTCTTCGGAAGAAGGATGATCACTATCGTCATCTACATCCTGAAAACAAGCACCTGACTTTGACGAACTGCGTTTACGTTCATATGTGCAGACATGTCTCACAAAAAATACCCAAGCTCCCAATTTTGGGGAAGCCGCTATAGTAAACTTTGGGGAAATGGCACAAAAGCCCCAAAATTTCCGGAAACTTTGGGTTTTTTCCCCAAAGTTTGGAGCTTGGGTAATTAGAATTGGATCATCATTGTACTCTTTACATAACGTACTTTGCATCCGTATACTAAAAAAATAATTCGTAACCAAAGAAGTCATATTACCTTGTGTACTTCTTTTAAATAGGTCTCAAAAGTGTCCCAACTTGTAAATCGACGAAATAACATAATATCACTGAAGATTCATTCTACATCATGCATCATCACGATGGACGTTATCAGACATGGTGTGGCTGAACTCGATTCAAATCTAAAGATGTCTTGATTTGACCGCTTCTGAAAAATTTCACGAATTGTCGATGTGACGCACCAATCATCTTGCGACAGTTTGACCTTCAAGTGCTCGCAAACTCCACAAGTGGATGGTTCCTATGATCCGTCACCCCAAGGGTATATAAGAGTACTCCACAAAACGGAAAAGAATATACGGTTAAGGAAGAAAAAAGTAAGTAGAGTACGAGGACCAAGTACATAATGAAGTAATATTTTGTCAATTCATCCGGGTAACTAATTGGTCTGCACCTTTGTAGTGTATGTGTCCTTTTACTTATTAGTGTTATGAATGATTAATCAGTGTAAGGAAATATTGTTTTCATTTCCCCCACGGTCTTTTGGCTAAAGTCGCGGTCTAGCATTCAGTAGGGCAGAGGTTCGTTTGCATGTGTGGCGTTGGTTTTTGTTCACAAAACCCCCTTTGCATATGATGTTTGTTGTTCGTAGGTTGCTCAGATGTGAGGAAAAATGACAAGAGTACAGATTGATATGTCGAAGTGCCATATTGGAACAGTACAAGTTCTTTGTTTGTATTAATAATAACACTATAGAAATACTACAAGTTTGGTAGATCTCCATTTTACGTTATACTTAAACAACAAAAAAATATATATTATTGGCATATCATGTTGT